ACTTTTTTAGAGCTGAAAAGGTTTCTTTTATTATAAAGGAATGACTTTTCAGAACCCTTTTAAAGCTGAAAAGGTTCCTTTCATTGAGAGAAAAAATTTTCAGATCTCTTAGAACTGAAAATTTGTTTCCTTTCATTAAAAAAAAATGACTTTTCAGAACTCTTTTAGAGCTAAAAAGGTTCCTTTTATTGTAAAGAAACGATTTTTTAGAATTCTTTTAGAGCTGAAAAATCATTTTTTAATAAAAATTTCAGATTCAGATCAGATCAGATTTGGATTTAAACTGATCTATTAAATCCAGATTTGAGATTCAATCCGTCAGATTCAGATCAGATTCAGATCCTGAAAAATGAAAATCAGATCAGATCAGATTTTATCCAAATCTGATCCGATCTGATTTTGCAGAACACTATCATTAACTAGACAGATAAATAGTTCACAAATTATGATTTGTGTTTTTATACCCTTGATAAATTTATGCAAATCATTTTTTCTTTTTTTTTTCTTAAATGCTTTATTAAAAGTAGGCATTTGGAATACAATTTACTCTTATTACTAATACATTTAAATAAACCTTATGTCTATATAGTAACAGTATGATTGGTATAGAATAAAAGTATTAAACTTTAATAGAGATACTTTAGATATTACTTCAGAATACTTATTATAAATCTTCTCAAACAAATCAGCATTATCATAATCAAATGATAGTAATAATAGATCATTATCATTATCCTTATTACATGAGTAATATAATATTTCTCTTTTATCAGTTTCTCTCATATAATCTGATAGATCATATCACCACAAATGTTTAAAATGAGAGATCTAGGTAGATCTTCTGTTAAAATAAGAGTATCACATTTTCCACATAGTCCATAATTTTGGATAGCTTTATTAGCTTTAATTAATAAAAAATCTGACTTTTTATGAAGAATATCCTCTAAGAAGTATTTTAATATATTTAATGTAAGTAATTTTAAGGCTCTATTACATTTTGTTATACTTCGTAAATATCTTTGCTTTGAGTAAAGATGTTTATAATATCCTTTATATTGATATCATCAACAGTGATCACTTCTGTATTAACTGAACTCTTTTAGTTCTCCATGATTAAAAAAAATAACTATGAAATTTCTTGCTTATTTTTATATTATTTATAAATTTATAGCTATTTTTAAAATAACTTTTAATTTTTATATTTATAATTAAGATAAAGAAAAAGAATTATATAATTGATATATTTTATAAAGTAAAATAATATTATATATAAATCTTATATAGTTTTATTATTTATTTATATTATTACTTTTCTTAATATAATTTTATAATTTATTAATAATTTGAATTGAATAAAATTAACTTTTAATTTAATATTTAAATTATATATGTAATTTTAATTTAAACTAATAATAATAATAAGATACATATTTTTATAATATAAATATAAAGATATAATTATATTTTTTATAATTAAATAAGTAAAATATATAATTATAAATATAGTAAAAAGGGAAAAACTACAAAAAAATTTTTTTTTTACTTTATAAGCTAAATATTTTTTTTAATAAATTAAATTTAGATTTAACATTAATTCAAAATAAAGGTTTTGGTAGTTATCAATAAAAGAAATTACAACTTCAAATATCACATAGGATTTGATAATTAATAATGATCTCACATTAGGAGATATAACTACTACGCTAAACAGTAATCAATAATAATCTCTGTTTTACCTGTTTTCTCTATTTCTTCTGTATTTTCTGTATAGCATATTTATTCTATTTATTCTGTTTCACCTGTAATTTCTTTAATGTCTGTAATTTATTTTATTTCTTTTTATTATTTTTATAGTTTATATTATTTATATTATTTTATTACATTTAAGTATATTTTTATTAAAACATATATCTATATTTAGTTAATTTATAGCGTAATGAGTAGTTAGCCATAACAAATTTATTTTTTATAAATAGGATAACTTTTTGCTTAAGTTGTAAATTAAAACTTATCTTTATTTATTTTTATTTTAATTACTTGCTATTACAACTACCTTTTGATCAAATTTGATAACAAAAATAAGAAAATCTAACTATTACTCATAGTATTTTTAAAATTATTGATTCTAATACATTTTGAAATAATTTAAATATAATTGTAAAAATATTATATTCTTATTGTAAAATCTTAAATATTTTATAACAAGAAAGCTGTTTATTTCAAGTAATACATAGTCTTGCATATCTTATTCAATTTTAGAGTAATGATACTACTACTAGTTTATAACTTTCAATAAGATTATTAATTAGATTAGAAAAAAGATGGAATGATTGGAAGCAACTATTTCTCTTATTATCATGTTTATTACATCCTGAATATCAAATAAAACGATTTAAAGATAATGTAAAAATTAATTGTGCTACTTTTGAAAAATGGTTAATCTATTATTATCAAGTATAGTTTAGAAAGGAACCAATCTGTATTTTACGTGAATTTGATGATTTTTGCTTAAAAATATCCATTTAATTATAATATATATAAACAATTTAATGGTAATATTTAGTGATATCAGTGTTTTGTAAAGGTATTTACTAATAAATTAGACTTAGTTGCCTATAAAATATTTGGAATTTGTATGAATACAGCCTCTATTGAATGTCTTTAAAGTTGTATAGATTTTTTGCAAACAAATTAACAAAATTATTTAACAGTAAGTGTTTATTATTATTTTATATTAAAAATTAATACATATTAATTTTTTTTTATTTAATCAGTAAAAGCACTTGACATAAGTAAATTACGAGCAGATATTATATGGAATAATCATTTTAAATCCAATTCTTCTTCAACTCTATTAAACATTACAATTGACACTTATAGTCAAGAACATTTTGATATAAATGATAATAAAAATAGTAAAGAAACTAAAAATGTTAAAAATCTTTTTCAAAAGAAGGATTAAAAGAGGAAGATTTATCTAATTTAGAAGAGGAATCAGATCATTTAGAAGAATTTGATAAATATTTAGAAGGATAGATAAAAATGCTAGAAGAAGAAATTTTTAATGATTTTGATATGCAATTTGAGAATGAAAAAGAATCTATAGCAATTAATAATTTTATTCATCCTGCAATTGATCTCAGTATGAAATGGAATTTAAAATCACTTTTTAAGAAATTAGAAGTTCCTTTTAAATAATAGTTTTAAATTTATTATTTGACGATTTTTTTTTGTGAAAATTAAAGTTTTTTATTTTAAATATCATGTTAAAAAAATAAATAAAAAATAAATTGATAATATAATAAATTTATTAAAATTCTCGTAACTTTAAAAAATTTAAATTAATAAATTAATAGTTAAAATTTTGATTTATATACTTGATATAGATTAAAAAATGCAGTAATGTAATTATGTTAATTTTTAGTAAAAAAAATATTGAATAAACAATACTATATACAAAAAATTGCCAATATATATTTAAATTCCTTTTTAATTTTATTTTAAGGTTAAAGAAGAGTATAATCCTTAGATCATTTGTAAATCTCAGATTCTGCAATCTCAAATACTAATGAGCAAATACAAAGGGATATATTGGCTGATCAGCTGGGAGACATAGACATATGTAAGATCATTAATAATCACTTGTGATCTCCAAAATATATAAATAATTTTTAAATAATACAATTATTCTAATTTCATAAATCAAAAAGCAAGATAACAAATATAATATATAGGCAAATCTAAAAAAAAATTAAGTTTATTATTAATCACTTTTTCAATAAGACAGATTTTTTTTTTTTAAAAAAAAAATATTCTAAAGACTTACCTCTGAAAACTAAGATTTAAAGAATCTAGAAGCTATAAGAAAAAAGTAACTGTATTTAGTATTTTTTTTTTAAAAAAAAAAATAATTACTTAATAATAATTTTTTAGGACTTATCACTAACGATATAAGACTAATAACTACAAAAAAGCAAGTACATTCAGACCTCCATATAATCACCTAATTAGTTTCGCAAAAATTAGTGATTTTATAGAGATGTGACTATAAAAAAGATAACTTTCATATAATCACCACTATATTAAAAATTATGTACAATAATTATATAAAGGTTTTATTATAAATGTTACATAAGTGCATATATCAATTGTTAACAAGTTTATCATTTATAAATGTTTTATTAAATTGTATATATTTATTATTTATTAATATTATCAAAATACTATATAAATGCCATTAAAAACTAAAATAATCCATAATTGATGCTTGCTTTTAGGATTGTTATTTAAGCTGCTTGATTATTTTAAAGTACCTTTTAAAAAGCTTAAATCTTCTACACAAAATTCATCAATATTCTGCTGTTCAAAAAAATGAAATCCAGATTTTTAAAGATTTGAAAGTATCACCAAAAGGTACTAGAATTTCTTTATTTTCAGAATTATTATTTTTATCACGTATTTCTTTTTAGATCAGCCTTATAATATCATTTTCATCTAAAATATTCTCATTTGAAATTTCTTCTAAGTCCTAAAAAAAATTGGCTAATGTATTTGCCAATAAAAAAGCAGAAAGGTTATCCATATCAAGCTCTTTGATTATTTGATCAATATCAGCTGTTTCATTATTTATTGCTTCTTGTTGAATTTGTAATGCGTCATCTCTATCTTTATCAGATAAAGAAGGCAAAATTCCAGTTTTTTCTAACAGTTTTATATTATTTTTTCAGTTACACAACCCTATGCTTCTGCAATATAATTTATTGCTTCTTTTATATTAATCCTTTCACTGTTTATGTCTTTTCCATTTTTGAATAGATTTAGTATATGATAACAGTACTTTCTCTTGAAGTAGTTTTTGAAGCTTACAATAATTCTGACATTAAGTGGTTGAAGATGAATTGTGGTATTAGAAGGTAAAAAAGCCACTTTAATATGAGTTAGTTAAAGCCAAGAAGTGTCAGATTGATATTTTTCTGATCTATCACAATTATTATAACCTTTTAATTCACTATGACTGCCATGACCTCTTGATCTACCACTATTACAACTGTCATAACCTCTTGGTTCACTACTATTACGACTATCATAACTTTCTAATCTACCACCATGACTACCATGACCTCTTAATCCACTATCATAACTACCAAGACCTCTTGAACTTGACTTTTTATTATCATTAAATTATATTACATAATTAGCATATAAAAAAAAAATAAATAAAAAAATAAATAAAAATATAAATAAATCTAATTTTATCAGATGTAGATGATTTATCTTCATCATCTTCATCTTGATCAATTTCTACGGTCAGTAAATAATGTAGATTGAAATGTGATAGAGTATTATCAACTAAAAGCAAGCTTTTTTTATCTTGTGCTTTAAAACGGCTGTTCATTTCACAAAGAACCTTTTTAAACACTGATGAATTTATCTAAGCTTTAGGATTACCTTAATAATAAATGGGAAGACACTCTAAATTAATCTTTAAAAGAGACCTTGAGCGCTTCAAATTACCAATTATCCATAGTTTTAATTTGTCAGTTCCTGTTACATTTACGTCAAAAAGAACTGTGATTTGTATTTTATCTTTCTTTTAACTAGAAACAGGTTTTGTCAAGAGTGTTTGACTTGAAGGCATTTGATAAAAAAGGTCTTATGTTCAAAAATAAAGAATATTAGCTAATTACACAAATTATATCACATTTTATGCTACAATATTACATATTTCTAATTATATGCATATTCTATCAGACTATAACATTTTGCATTAGTCCTTAAAACTTCTAAAATGTGCAAATTTCACAATTCTGAAAATAACAATGATAACAAAAACTGGAAAAGACTTACTATTTCGTCAATGTTGTAAATTAGATCAGGAGTATATCAATTTAAAATTGATTGTAATCTTATACATTTTTCTGAAAGAGATGTTAAAGACGTACTTTTTGATTCACTATATATGCAGTATCTATGAATATTATTACGTCTTTTAAACTTATGTAGCCAACTATTAGAAAAAGATAAATCTTTTTCTTGAATATTAAAAGCTTCAGCAAAGATTTTTACCTTTTCTTTTATTAACAAATCTGTTAATATTACACCATCGGCTATTACATTTTCTACCCATAAACTCATTGTATATTTAAGAACCAGAAACTTAACTTCTTTATGTCTAAATTTTTGAGTAAAATCTTCAAAATTTATTGCTTTTCACTTATCACTTTGTAACAGAATCTTTGAAATTATGCTTTTATCAATCTTCAAATTAGAGTACATTTCATTGAAATGGTTTGTAATATCTATATATTATTTACTTTCATTTGCCTATAACCACTCATATATTTGATGTTTTATGTCATTACTTATGGCTGAATAATGCTGTTTTAGTTTGAGTCTAACAGGGGGCATTTTTGAGAAAGTTTCTTTTTAAATGATGATCTGTTTCTGCAGATTTATATGATTTAATATATTACAGATGCTACATTGATAATCAAATGTATTATAAAATGATAACTTTAAACAAAAATCCCTTTGTGAGCAAAATACTATTAAAATTCTTTTATTTATAGATAAATTTCTATAGGAGAAGAAGTAGACTAATAAATGGTAATTTAAAATAATTAAGTAAGTTCAAAACATTTTACTTTAACTTTAATTATAATATAATATCCAGAATTATTGAAATAATTGTGAAAAAAATTGTGGTAGTCTTTTTTTTTAATTGAAGAAAACAGAAATTTTATTCAAGAATTACATAAATTTATAATTTAAAATGAATTATACAAATTTATAATTTGAAAATAAATTATAATTTATACTACATATTTACTTAATATTTACCAACACATTTACTAAAAATGTTACATAAAAGATCCTTTTATAGAATACTTAAATTGACCAATAAAAAATTATGTAACCATTAGAAGTTTAATTACTAATAAAAATAATATGTATGTTAGGAATTTGTATGTAATAATGATTATAGTTAATATAGAGATAATTTAATAATGCTAAAATCAGTTCTGTAAAAATGTGTACTTATATAGAAATGTGACTATATAGAGTGTAATTATATAAAAGTCTAACTGTATAGTTGATAGTTAGAAAATTTTTTTTTTAAGAAAAAAAAAATTTTCTTTTATAGGACTTACCTTTGATGATCTAAGGATTAAAGAACCAAAGAATAGCTACAAGAAGATAAGTAATTATAGTCAGTTTAATTTTTTCTTAAAAAAAAAATTAATAAATTTTGTTGTAGGATTTATTTTCAGATAGATCTAAGGCTTGAAGAGTCATTACATTAAAGAATAGCATAAAAAAATAAACATAATTTGTAATTAGATTCTTTTTTTTCTTAAAAAAAAAAAATTAATAAAATTTTTTTTTAGAACTTACTTCTAGATAGATTCAAGGTTTAAAGGATCACTACATCTATAAGAAGGTAAGCATAATTATTAGTTAGTTATTTGATTTTTTTTTAAAAAAAAAATTAATAAAATTTTTTTTGTAGGATTTACCTCCAGACAGATTCAAGGTTTGAAAAATCACTATATTTACAAGAAGGTAAGCATAGTTGTTAATTAGTTATTTGATTTTTTCTTAAAAAAAAAAATTAATAAAATTTTCGTTTGTAGAACTTACTTCAAAATGATCTAAGACTTACAGAATCTGATTTACTATCATATTCAAGATTTAAATTAGCCATTTTATTATATAAATAATGTAATAAAATTAATTTTTCATTCTTCATAAATTTATCTTGGATCAAAGTAAATTAGTATTTATTAAATAAAAAAAAATTTCTAATAAACTTACCATTTGTATTACAGAAACTCATTTATTCCATATGCTTTAAAAGACAAATTGGTGAGATCTATTGCAAGATCAACTCACATATAGTTTTACTATATACTGGATATTTCAAAGAAAGAAATATATACTATTAATATATTAATATATATAAATCTATAATACGTTTCCTAAATTTGATTAGCTTAATATCACATGATAATTACTGTTAATCAGCCAATGAAAATAATTAATTTGTCTCAAATGTCCTGAACATAAAAATTTTATATCTGTATTCATAGGACAGTCTGAGATTAGATAATCCATGTCTATATCCATGTTTCATGATAACACTAACTATATTAGTACTATATTTTATTAAAAAGTATTTTAAATTAATATTCTCTTTAAGGTAGCTAATTGATATTATATTTTTTTCTTTAATTTATATAGTTTACTTTTTTGTAGCTCTTGAAAATTTCTTTAAAATAGTCTAATAAAAACAATAATTTTTTTTGTTAGAATGTCTAATGCAAATAGCTTGTAAAAATATGTTTTAGATTTTTAAAAGTATCTTTAAGTTTATAATAGTCTTATACATCTAATATAACTATATGGAAATTAGATAATATTATAAATTTATATTATATAAAACAAGCAAATAAAAAAATACTAATTATATGAGCTTATTTTATAATATTGTTAATATTACTATTACGGGTATGTGAACTCTTATTTTACTATATATATTCTCAATAAAATAATCTTTAAAGTTTACTAAAAATAATTTTATAGCTTTAGCAAAAGAATGATTTATATCTTACTAGTAAAAAATATCTAATAAGAAGACTAATAGTGCTTTATTATAATTATGCCTTTTCCATCAAAATGTAAATATTTATATTCAAAAATTATTTTTATATACTCATTAAATGAGCTTGATTAAAATAGAATTGAATACACAAAAATTACTAGAATTATATTATCTAATAGATTAATAACCATACTATATTCAATATTTTTGCAGATATTTTCAAATTTTGTTATAATAGTATCTCTAATTTTATACCATCTATTATATACTAAATTAAGTAGTAAATTTAATTTTCAAAATTTAGGTTTTTTTTGCTGATATCTTTCTTTTATCAAATATAAATTGGAACAGTTTTTGAAAGAAAGTATAATATTTAATTAATATATATTTTCTACTATTTAGAGAAACATAAAGAGGTTCTAAAATTAAAATGAATGAATTAATCTCAAGTGATATTGAATATTGTGAATTTGCTTTATATAAATATGTTATTACTTTGCAAACAAATAATTGTCCAAACTAATCTACTACTAATGATACAATATGATTATATAAGTATTCAGTATCTTTATTAATATCTAAGATTATTTATAATATTTCTATATAATCATTCATAGAATGCAATTTTTTTTTGAAATCTAATTAATCGTATTTCTTTTATTAAATATTCTTCTTTTCTTTTAGCGATTGCATCATTATAATAATATACTATAAATAATTCAATTTAATCAAAGATATTATTAGCTAATTATCCATTAGTGAGCTATTGATTTTTATAATTAGTATATATAATATCAAATATTTCATAATATTTATGAATTAATCAGAAATATATATTACTTGTATCAATATTTATTAGATTATAAACTGATATATTATTAAAAATAATAGGTATCAATGTACAATTTTAAATCTGTTTACAAATATAAGTAATCATGTGATTAACAGTAAATAAGGTTACAGTATCAGGTCTTCTTTTTTTATGTGTATCATAATAATCATCTAGGTTATAGATATACAAATAGTCATTTTATTTGTAATTAAATTTTGGTTAATAAAAATTTTTTAAAAATTTTTTTTTTAATTTTGTTTACATTTCTGAAAGAAATTTTCTATTGTTTAATGGATGTTCATTTACAAGTTTATGTTTAAAATTATTAACTGTTGTATAAAAATCTAATATTATTCATTTTATCAATTGTATACGTGTTGCTCCTGATGCTAATAAAAATAATTTAACTTTTAATTTGAAATCATTAACAAATTTATTTCATTTTCCAGCTATAATATAACATAATATCATAATTGTTTTTTTTGCTTCAACTTTATTATATATTTATCTATTATCAGGAAGTAATGCAATGCCTTTACTAATTTATTAAAAAAGCCTTGTAAACACAGATCTACTACTTCATTTATTTAAAATGTGTAGGATTAAGTTCTAAATTATCATGCTACTCATATAAAACCTTTGTAAGCATAGTAATCTGCTTGGCAAATGAATAACTTTTTAATTCTATATATATAAAAAATTATTATATAGTTAGTTGTAAAAATCATAAAATTGGAGTTCTCGATCTAAATCCATTTAATATGTAGATCATTATGAAAAAGATTAGATAATTGAATGCAACTCCAATTTTATTATTTTTGCAGCTAACTAATTATAATTTTATATTTATGATGTGTTATATTTTCGTCAGCTTCTAAAAAAAAAGAGGAATTTCTGACATGTTTCTGATAAGGTTTAACAATGCTTATATAATGATTATGACATAATTATTATCCGATTTTTAGATACTGTGATTCACAAAAGTAATGGAACAGATGATCAAAATTTTTTTAAATTAGTATATCTTTGCTTTAGATGGTTAAACAAAAATAAAAATAGATTCATTTAAATCACTGGAACTTGGATAATTATTTTCGTTTGTTTTTATTGTTAATTATTTTTCATGTTCTATTTCTTTTGACCGATCTTGAGACAAAAGGCATTGTGATCTTTAGACAAGTAATTATTTGACTGTTTTAATTTATATATAAGAATGTTGTCACAGCAAATATGATCATTTCTAATAATTTTTTATTTTTCAATTCCTTATATATCACAAGAAAAACACACTTGTATATATACCCTTTATAAAGAGGGTTATTCAACTAGAACTATTGTTAAAATGGAAAATGTTAGCCCATCATCAGTTCTACGAATATATCGAAAAAATGAAACAACTGGAAATTTTAATGATAAACCCAAATCGGGTCATCTGCGTATCATTTATGGACATTATAAAAGGAGAATTATCTGAATGATTACATCTGGAAATGCTTAACAGCTGTAGAAGTGCATTCACAACTTAAATCTAGCGATCTATAAATATTTCAGTTGAAACTATACGTTGTATATTGAGGAAGAATGAGCTAGTTGCACGAGTAAAACAAAAGAAACCCTTGCTTAAAAAACCCACTAGCATGGGTGAAACGATATCGCAATTGGACAATTAATGATTAGAGAAAGGTGGCGTGGTTAGATGAGTCAAAGTTTCTTTTATTTGGCTCTGACGGAAGACAATATTGTTGGAGAAAACCTAAGCAAGCTTTAACTGGTCGAGATGTAATACCAACGGTCAAATTTGGTGGTGGTGGAATAATGGTCTGAAGTTGTATGACGACCAAGGGTATTGGTAATCTGATTAGGATTGAAGGAAATATGAATAGCGAGCTATATAGACAAATAATGGAAGGTGGGCTTTTACCTTCACTTTTGCGACTTGACCTAGATAAAAATAATATTATTTATCAACAGGATAACGATCAATCTATTAGGGTACTTGATTGGCCATCTCAATTTCCTGATTTGAATCCTATTGGAACGAGGTTGATAGACGTCTGCGTAACCTTAAAAATCCATCTTCAAATAAATAAAAATGATTTGTGGAGAATTTAAAAATCGTGTGGAATAGTATTGGAGTTGATTATTGTAATCAACTAATTGATTCTATGCTGAAAGAATAAATGATGTAATAAAGACGTGGGTGGATATACCAGATGGTAGACTTATGGTATGTTAAGGAGTTTTATGGCTTTAAATTTTCTTATCTTGAATAATTTAATGCGTAGTAGCGTATCCAAGAACGGTCAAAAGAAATGGAACGCTAATCAAAAATAAACTTTAGATTTTTATATATTTTATCAAATTATAAATAAATAAAATATTATTACCTGAATGCCGGCAAATTGAATGAAGGTATTTTTATCCTTGTACGACTCTTTGGGATAAAAATATTTACATTTCAAAAAATTTGATCATCCGTTCCATTACTTTTGTGAGCCACGGTATTTATATGCTTCGTAAGTTCCTTTTTTTTTTGAGCTTTCTCATATGCTAACGAAGTAAATTGTCGAAAACGGGATATTTGACTATTACAATTTTGTATCGAATTAATTTGAAGCAAAAATACTGTAAAAATGATCTGTAATCGCGTAGTATTATCACGTATTATTTATTTAGCCAATCATAATACTGTACACACAGATTATTAACCAATAAAAACAAACTTTCTCTATGCTGATTAAAATCGATTTCGATTCGATTTTTTTATTCTACTAAAAAATTTTGATTTTCTTCAACGATTCACCGTTCCCTAGTATATCACATCGCGCAGCACATCTTCCTACAAACACCACTTCGTCAGACATGGACACCGCCCAGTTGAAACAGGAATTTGAGAAGGCTAACGCGAAGTTAGATAAGTTAGAAGCTTTAAGGCGTGGAGTAGAGGAAGAGTACCAAGGGGAAAGGAACGTCTTGGAACAGCAAGAGACTTATTGGCTGGGAGAAAAAAAGAAGTGGGGAGATGCTTTAGTTGTTGTTAGTACTCAACCAGGTAACGACTTTGTGACTTTAACAAATTGCGTAAAAAAAATATACAAAAACCATAACGAACTGCTAACTTTTGCTTTTTTAATGCTCAAAGGATCGCTTGAGGAGGCTTTATCCATTATCTTGCAGAACATACCAA